GTGGACGTGCTCCTCCTCTAACTATCCTTCTTTCATGTCAGCCTGTCGACAAAAACGAGGCACAGAGTTTAAACAGATCACTTCTCAGTTAATACACAACTACACAGGTTAAACGTTGAAGACGGACTAACCAGAAATGTACACGAAAGACAAATGTAACCTAGTCTACAAGGCAATACAGCGTCAATTCCCGTAAACTTTCTTTAAAATTAATAACCCAAAAACTAAAGATTTTCGGACATTGAATGGAGTGTTCTTGTTTTCGTATGAGAAACCCGCCCCAAAGTTTGGAAAAATATTTCTGATAATCTCTCTCTTTTTTATCTATCTATCTATCTATCTATCTATCTCTCTCTCTCTCTCTCTCTCTCTCTCTCTATATATATATATATATATATATATATATATATATATATATATATATATATATATAATTGTGTATTTGAATAAAATTCCTCCTTTGTACAAATCTCATTAAAACGACTGATAAGGTACGGCGGTTATTTTCCTTGTTCGCTGCCGGTCTGTTTATGTAATTTTGTAATAACGACTGACAATTATTATTATCATTATTATTATTATAAAATTACCTGTCCTGACAGCCAACAAAGAAATAACCGCAGTACCTTGTCAGTTCATTTTTTTATTAAACTTATATATACAGGGTTATTCAAAAAGAATGAAACGACCCCATGACGCATTGCTTCAGTACTCAAGCATCGTCATGAAATCAGTCGGTGACAATTTGAAAGAGGAATTTTTAAAGTTTTAAATGGCTTCCATAGGAGCGCTGTAGTTGCGTTGCATCTCCGGCAACGTTCAGTTGTATGTTTATCCCCGGAATGGTGAGTCCTCTGGCAAAGGCGTTCTGCGTTCTCGAGTTCGCGAAAACAAATACGGTTATCACAGCGTGCTTTTCGAGGTAAATTCGACATTAATCCGTCCTCTTTCTAAGAACATTCGACGGTGATTTAAAGAGTTTCAAAAGAGTGGGCATCTGTGTAAAGGTAAAAGTCCAAGACGACCCCGATTTTCGAAGCGACAAGTGGCGAGAATCCATTCTGCGCTTAAGGGGAGTCCACTGAAGTCCTTGACACCTGCTAGCCTTGAGCTTGCCATCTTTCAATCCACTATCTGGCGTTTGCTAAGAAGACGTCTACATTTGAAACCTTACAGTATACGCCTCGTTCAGGAACTTTCCAAGACTTGCTTAATATGCTTGGCTTGCGAGATCCCCACACCTCACCGTGTATGAGTTTTTTTTTTCTTTTGGAGATACGTAAAAGATGGTGTTTATGTTCCACAGCTACCTGCTAACAACGAATAACAACAGCGATCAACTCAGTGGGTCGTGATATGCTGATACGTGTCTGAGAGAAATTCTCTTATCGCTTTTATGTTGCCCGTGCTGTAGATGGTGCCGACATTGAACACTTGTAAGTCAGGAAATAAAAGTTTATTGTGTGTAGAATACTAATGACTTGGCTTGAGTTTTCTATTGATTTTCCTTATTAAAATATTGCGTAATGAAATAGGTCCATTCTTTGTGAATAAACCTGTATTATAGTATTGGATGTTGTTATTATTATTACTATTATTTTAGAAGTAGTATTAGTATTGGTTGTAGTAATAGCTGTATTAGTAGTAGTGATATTATTAGCAATAGATATCACTGATTTACAGTTGTTTTGTAAGCGTGAAAACAAATACGCTTGTCACGGTGCAGCGAGCTTTTCGAAGGCAATTCGATATTAATCCGCCCTCTCCTAAGAACGTTCGACTGCGGCTTAAACAGTTTCAAGAGAGTGTGTACCTGTCTAAAAGAAAAAGTCCAGAAAGACCACGAGTTTCAGAGGAACAGGAGGCGACAATCCGTGCTGCGTTTGAGGGCAATTCCCGGAAGTCCACAAATCGAGCTAGGCGTGAGCTTGGGATCTCTCAATCCACTATGTGCCTTGTGCTAAGAAGACGTCTACATTTAAAGCCGTACAGACTACGCCCTATCCAGACACTTACCAAGAACTCGCTCACTGTGCTTGACCTGCAAAATCCCCAGTCTTCACCGTGTGTATTTTTTTTTTCTTTTGGAGATAAGTAAAAGATGGCCTTCTACCGCTACCCACTAACCTCGATGACCTTAAACATCGAATAATAACAGCGATCAATTCAGTGATATGCTGATACGCGTTGGGAGGAATTCTCTTATCGCATTGATGTTGCCTGTGATGCAGGTTGTGGCCACATTGAACACTTGTAAGACAGGAAATAAAAGCTGCTTGTTAGTAGAATACTTGTGACTTGGCTAGAGTTTTCTATTGCTTTTCTTTATTAAAATACTGCATAATGTAATCGGTTCATTCTTTTTGAATAACCTTGCATATATAGTATATGTTATGGAGCAAGTGGGAAACGTTTATAAGCATTTCGACTTCTTTAAAACTTCACCAGAGAAAGAGATTTTGTAAGTGTGATTACGTGTGAATTTTTTAAATATGGATGTACAAACCGATTAATCTAATATTAAAAAGCCATGTGTTTTGATATTTGACCCACCCTTATAAACTTTATCCTCCGCTCCACCATACTTGACTATGAAAATGTTTCGCTGTCAATCGACTGACATGAAATCGGTTAACATGTAAGAAAATCAAGACTCCCTAGTTACGAAATGTTTGTATACAACATTTTATGCAACCAGTAAGTAATATTAGATTCAAATCAGGAAAAAAATAACTTTAAATTTGCTAATTTTCTTCAAATAAAATTTCAAAAATATATATTTTGTGTTTGCAAGATTTTGAAAACCGAAAATTAGCTTTTGTTTATAAATGTGTCAAAATGCCCGTATTTTATCGATTTCTCTGAAAGAAATCGATTTCGGTCAATATATTTCCTGTTCGAAACACACTACAGGGTATTTTGCTGACTGGAAATAGTAAAATTTAAATGGCTTCGCTTTCAGTCGAATCTAAAAAGAAAGCTTCAAAAAGGTTTTTCATTTTTAAAAAAAATATTTTGAAACTTACGTATACTGAAGTGGAGTTACCTATATATATATATATATATATATATATATATATATATATATATATATATATATATATATATATATATAGGTAGGTAGGTACAGAAAAGAGTAATAGATAGATAGATAGATGAATAGATAGATAGATAGATAGATAGATAGATAGATAGATATTGACCGTGTCGGCGATGTTGTTGATAGAAATAGAAGATCACATGTGGAGTTAAGATTTTCCTGCTAACCGGTGCAACTACATGAGAAAGTTGAACATTAATTAAGTCCAAAGAAGGCAAAGAAAAACAAACACAAGACCGATAAATATATGTATACAAATATATATATTAATAACAAGTTACATGGACAGTTACAATGGACAGAGTGCGTGTGTGAATATTATATATATATATGTGTGTATGTGTGTGTGTGTGTGTGTGTGTGTGTGTGTGGTGGGGAGTTCATACGTACGTGTATTGTGCTTAGCGTGTTCCCAGCATTTGGGAAACGCTATCTCTGTGAGCGTTCACATCTGCGAGGTGATATAAGGCTGAAAAGCCTGAGGAGAAAGAGAGGAAGAAGCGAAGGGTCAGGGACTCTTTATAGCCAGGGAAGTGAGACCCCTGGGGAAAGGGTTAACGAACTAAAGGAGGAGTTAACTCCGACAAATAGATAGATAGATAGATAGATAGATAGATAGATAGATAGATAGATAGATAGATTGTATGGTTGTTGTATTTGAATAGATTCATAGCGACAGTTTGGTAAAACAAATGGTGTGTATATATATATATATATTTTGAACCATTTTTCAATTACTCATATTTTTGCGTACAATCCAAATTCTTTTAGGAATGTTACATTCTTGGATGTTTTTCTTTTCGTTAAAAAAAATTTTTTTTTTTCATAAATTACTCATTTGGTAATATTTTGTTCACACTACTTGCATTACTGATTTTTTTTTTATTAAGTATTGCTGGTAATAATTTTTCGTTCAAAAATTATTGCTGGTAATAATTTTTCGTTCAAAAATTATTGCTGGTAATAATTTTTCGTTCAAAAATTATTGCTGGTAATAATTTTCGTTCAAAATTATTGCTGGTAATAATTTTCGTTCAAAATTATTGCTGGTAATAATTTTTCGTTCAAAAATTATTGCTGGTAATAATTTTTCGTTCAAAATTATTGCTGGTAATAATTTTCGTTCAAAAATTATTGCTGGTAATAATTTTCGTTCAAAAATTATTGCTGGTAATAATTTTCGTTCAAAAATTATTGCTGGTAATAATTTTCGTTCAAAAATTATTGCTGGTAATAATTTTTCGTTCAAAATTATTGCTGGTAATAATTTTTCGTTCAAAAATTATTGCTGGTAATAATTTTCGTTCAAAATTATTGCTGGTAATAATTTTCGTTCAAAAATTATTGCTGGTAATAATTTTCGTTCAAAAATTATTGCTGGTAATAATTTTCGTTCAAAAATTATTGCTGGTAATAATTTTCGTTCAAAAATTATTGCTGGTAATAATTTTCGTTCAAAAAATTATTGCTGGTAATAATTTTTCGTTCAAAAATTATTGCTGGTAATAATTTTTCGTTCAAAAATTATTGCTGGTAATAATTTTTCGTTCAAAAATTATTGCTGGTAATAATTTTTCGTTCAAAAATTATTGCTGGTAATAATTTTTCGTTCAAAAATTATTGCTGGTAATAATTTTTTTATTACAAATTATTTCTGGTATTTAAACCTATTTTTACACAAGTTTGGGTGTATTTGTTTTTAGCTGAGACCCTAACAGGTGCTTCCACCACGGGTCAGGGTGAACCTGAGAATACCAGCAATTAAGAGGTGGTTCTACGCTCCTCAAAACCGCATGATCAGGGGCCTTACTGTTGGACGTAGTATATCGTCATACCCAGGACGCGGATGTAGTTTCTCGACATACCCAGAACCGAGGTATATTGATATATAGATATATACCTACATACATACATGCATATGAACAGACTGAGATAGATAGATAGATAGATAGATAGATAGATAGATAGATAGAATGAAAGAAACAGATGGAGATTCATAGATAGATTTAAAAGACTGAGATTGATTGATATATAGAGAGACACGAAACAGTGATAGACAGAAAGAGAGAGAGATAGAGATTAGCACTGTGATAGATAGATAGATAGATAGATAGATAGATAGATAGATAGATAGATATGAACAGACTAACATAGATAGATAGATAGATAGATTGAAAGAAACACATGGAGATTGAGAGATAGATATAAAAGTCTCAGATTGATCGATATATAGAGAGATACGGAACAGTGATAGATAGAAAGAGAGAGAGTGTGATTAGCAGTGATAGATAGATAGATAGATATAAACAGACTAACATAGAGAGATAGATTGAAAGAAATAGACAGAGATTGAGAGATAGATATAAAAGACTCAGATTGATTGATATATAGAGAGATACAGAACAGTGATGGACAGAAGGAGAGAGAGAGATATAAGCAGTGTGATAGATAGATAGATAGATAGATAGATAGATAGATAGATAGATAGATAGATAGATTTTCGTGAAAATGTTTTTTTCTTTTTTTTTTCTTAAATTACTCACTTGGTAATATTTTGTTCACACTATTTTGTATTCTGAGTTCCATTATCCTTTTTTTTCAAAGAATATATAGCTGTTTGGATTACTGTTTTTTATTAAGTATTGCTGGTAATAATTTTTCATTCAAAAATTATTGCTGGTAATAATTTTTTTATTACAAATTATTTCTGGTATTTAAACCTATTTTTACACAAGTTTGGGTGTATTTGTTTTTAGCTGAGACCCTAACAGGTGCTTCCACCACGGGTCAGGGTGAACTTTGGAATACCAGCAATTAAGAGGCTGTTCCACGCTCCTCGAAACCCCCAGATCAGGAGCCTTACTGTTGGACGTAGTATATCGTCTTACCCAGGACGCGGATGTAGTTTATCGACATACCCAGAACCGAAATAGATGGATATATAGATACATACGTACATACATGCATACATATGAACAGACTGAGATAGATAGATAGATAGATAGATAGATAGATAGATAGATAGATAGATAGATAGATAGAAACAGACGGAGATTGATAGATAGATATAAAAGATTGAGATTGATTGATATATATAGAGAGACACGGAACAGTGATAGACAGAAAGAGAGAGAGATTATCAGTGTGATAGATAGATAGATAGATAGATAGATTGATAGATAGATATGAACAGACTAAGATAGATAGATTGTATACTCGATAACAGCAAGATGAAGATCATTGGAAAAGATGTGAAGCTATCACGCTGGAGAATCGAATCCTATTTCCGTTACAGTCTATATTTACCAAAGCTCTTTTCTCGTAATTGAGCACTCTCCGACTTGCGTGTGGATGGAAAAAACTGGCGGAACTCTGTTCAAAACGGCATCAAGAAAGACGAGAAGAAGCGTAGTCTTCAGCCGGAGAATAGAAGAAGCTACCCATCTCTTTTTGATGACGGTAATAACGCGTCTGTTATCTTGTTTTAAGTTTTGTAGAAATTTGATGGTTTCATAGAAAACCAACTGAATTGCTTCCGGCCAAAATGACTGAAACGTGTGCGACACTAAAGAAAGACGGTGTCGGTCCCAATTAAAAACAATTTTAATAATTAATGTAAAGTTTTTTTTTTTTTTGTTTTCAGGCGTCAAGAATTACCAAGAAAAGATTGTTTCTTTTTTATCGTAGTCGGACATACTACTTGAGGTATGTAATATTTTGGTTAAAAGCCACAATCATCTCTCCGACGTAAAAACACAAAACGGTCTACTTTTGTATAAGAACACTTAATTGAATTAATGCAGCCGACATTTCCGGGCGGAAAGCGCTGAATTATTAATAAGATATTTACGATCATTCCACTCAATCTTCTTTGTAAATAGACGTGTGTTGCTTGTGGCGTCTGAAACTACACACAGTAATGGTCATTGAACCTGAGGTCAGTAGATGTGCTTCCTCCTGTGGGGCGCCTGGGCGCCGATAAAATATATATATATATATTTTTTTTGATACCCGTAAAACCAACAGCATTGGAAAAAAAAAAGAAAATAATGATTTAGAGGAGAGGGTGCTATATATATATATATATATATATATATATATATATATATATATATATATATATTGGAAAAGTGTGTGACAAAGTAGAAAAAGTTTTCTTGTGAAGTATTTTCTCATTTTGAATTTTAATTGAAATAAATTTGATAAGTTTTAACTTTAAATTACCAAAATACCTCGCCGGAGCGTAGAACGGCCGAAACATCTTGAATATGACAACGAAGATAAGAACAACAGTCCGAACAATGTAAATAGTGTAAATAATTACAATACCTCATCTCAGAAATATAGACAGATATAGAAGAAGGCCGGAGTGTATAACGGTCTAAACGTCATGAATATGACAACGAAGATGTGGACAACAGTCTGAACAATGTAAATAGTGTAAATAATTACAATACCTCATCTCAGAAATATAGACAGATATAGAAGAAGGCCGGAGAGTACAACGGTCTAAACGTCGTGAATATGGCAACGATGATGACAACAGTCCGAATAATGTAAATAGTGTAAATAATTACAGTACCTCATATCAGAAATATAGACAGATATAGAAGAAGGCCGGAGTGTACAACGGTCGAAACGCCGTGAATATGACAACGATGATGACAACAGTCCGAATAATGTAAATAGTGTAAATAATTACAGTACCTCATATCAGAAATATAGACAGATATAGAAGAAGGCCGGAGTGTACAACGGTCGAAACGCCGTGAATATGACAACGATGATGACAACAGTCCGAATAATGTAAATAGTGTAAATAATTACAATACCTCATCTCAGAAATATAAACAGATATAGAAGAAAGCCGGAGCGTATAACGTTCTAAACGTCGTGAATATAGCAACGAAGATGAGGACAACAGTCCGAATAATATAAATAGTGTCAATAATTACAATACCTCATCTCCATAATTATGGACAGAAGCACTATTTAGTTTTCCTTTTCCTTGAAATGATTTCGTTGAATGGTCTCTGCATTCACAGTATTGTCAGACCCCTTCTGTGCAAATACATTTCTGTTGCTTTCAGTACGATACAAAAACAAAGACACAAAAAAATTAGAATCTGTTGAACGAAAACGATGCGGCATGTATCAAGCAACAGGTTGCTACATCTCTTAGATACAAAATAACATTTTGAAATAAAAAAAGAAAGATTCGAAAGCGAATAAGACGTAAATTCATATCGGAACGTCCAAATGGCTGTGGTGGAAAGGGGATTTAATAACGGCTAGAAATTCCGAATTTAACGATGCCAACGTCATAAACAATGGCGTTATAGGAAGGGATCATGCAATGATAGTTTCCAGAGTCAATATCTGCATTGTAAATTCAGGAAACAGGAATATTTTTCTAAAGAAATGCCCTAATACAATCAAAACAAACGTCGCTGGTGCTCAGATAGAAATCAAGAACTGATTTTCAGGAATGAGAAAAATATGAAAAGCAAATTGAGTGCCATAATTTGGGAATCAGGAAGAACAACAGACAAAAGAATTTAAATTCAGAAAGTAAAGGGAATTCATTACATTAATAATATGGAATACAACCTGAAATAAAATGAATACTAATAATGTATTGAGTCAGAGTGTTAGGAGCAAAAGCAACAATAATAATATGGAATAAAACTAGTAATAAAATAATAGTCATAATGAAGAGTGTATAGAGCCAGAGTGTTTGGATAAAAAGCAACAATAATAAGATGGAATATAACTAGTAATAAAATAATAGTAATAAGGAAGAGTGTATAGAGCCAGAGTGTTGGGATAAAAAAGCAACAATAATAAGATGGAATAAAACTAGTAATGAAATAATAGTAATAATGAAGAGTGTATAGAGCCAGAGGGTTGGGATAAAAAAGCAACAATAATAAGATGGAATATAACTAGTAATAAAATAATAGTAATAATGAAGAGTGTATAGAGCCAGAGGGTTGGGATAAAAAAGCAACAATAATAAGATGGAATAAAACTAGTAACGAAATAATAGTAATAATGAAGAGTGTATAGAGCCAGAGTGTTTGGATAAAAAGCAACAATAATAAGATGGAATATAACTAGTCATAAAATAATAGTAATAAGGAAGAGTGTATAGAGCCAGAGTGTTGGGATAAAAAAGCAACAATAATAAGATGGAATAAAACTAGTAACAAAATAATAGTAATAATGAAGAGTGTATAGAGCCAGAGTGTTGGGATAAAAAGCAACAATAATAAGATGGAATAAAACTAGTAACAAAATAATAGTAATAATGAAGAGTGTATAGAGCCAGAGTGTTGGGATAAAAAGCAACAATAATAAGATGGAATAAAACTAGTAATAAATTAATAGTAATAATGAAGAGTGTATAGAGCCAGAGGGTTGGGATAAAAAGCAACAATAATAAGATGGAATAAAACTAGTAATAAATTAATAGTAATAATGAAGAGTGTATAGAGCCAGAGGGTTGGGATAAAAAGCAACAATAATAAGATGGAATAAAACTAGTAATAAAATAATAGTAATAATGAAGAGTGTATAGAGCCAGAGTGTTTGGATATAAAGCAACAATAATAAAATGGAATAAAATTAGTAATAAAATAATAATAATAATAATAATAATAATAATAATAATGAAAATTACGTCGACCCCTATTTTGGGGATACATTTAACAATAATAAGATGGAATAAAACTAGTAATAAAATAATAGTAATAATGAAGAGTGTATAGAGCCAGAGGGTTGGGATACATGCAACAATAATAAGATGGAATAAATCTAGTAATCAAATAATAATAATAATAATAATAATGTTAATGATAATAATAATAATGAAGATTATATCGATCCTTATTTTTGGAATAACAGCAGCAATAATAAGATGGAATAAAACTAGTAATAAATTAATAATAATAATGAAGAGTGTATAGAGCCAGAGTGTATTGAATCAGAGTGTTGGGATAAAAAACCAAAAATAATAAGATGAAATCAAACTAGTATTAAATTAATAGTAACATGGAAAATTGTATTGAACCAGAGTGTTAGGGCGAAAACAACAAAAAATATAATTGCATGAGAGTAATATTAGAATAATCGCAATAATTCAGAACTTATCGAGAATCGTTTCTGTTGTGGTAGGATCCACCTAATTTACATAGTGGAGTACCGACCATATAAATATGGTTGGTACCGGGAAGACGGGGGGTGGGAGAAGAGATCCAATCCAGAGACTCTGCCCGACTGTGATTAATGTCAACCCATTCTACAGGAACGGTCTTCCCAAGAATAATCCAAACTATCTGTAAATACACGTACACGTTCTTGTGTCAATACATTTTGTTTAAGTACATTTTGTGTTGTATTATTATTATTCCATGCTTTATTCAAGTTTCAACAGTTTCCTATATAATGAAACACGAAAAGCGAAATAATCTTTTGTGGGTCTTAAACTCTTAAGACTGACTAAAGTTTATGACGCGGACACGGGTTTATCTCCAAGTAATCGGCCTAATGGAGACTGTGGGTAAAGGCAAAAGCAAATATATTATAAGATGTGCAAAACATTTTGACGTGTACAGGTTTTGAGGAGCATGGAACCACTTCTTAATTGTTAGTACTGGGTATGACGATAAATTGCATCTGGCAAAATGTGTTCTGATCGGGGTGTTGTGAGGAGCGTGGAACTACCTCTTAATTGCTGTTGTTCCCACCCTGACAAAGATTTGTATCACCTGTTAGGGTCCAGGTTATAGGTAAATATTGAACCCCCTAAACTGGTGTTGAAATATGAAGAGATAAAGATACATTAAAAACAATTACCATGAAAATTACCAGATATATATTATACTTATATATCATATTTATACAATAAATGCTAACATGCAACAATGTTAAGAAACTGGCTAAACGATAAAATGTGATAATAGGGTTGAGTTTAAGTTTCCCCGCCAAAAGAAAAGAAAAAAGTACAAATAAAATAAAAACGGCAAATAATTAAACTATACAATACTTAAGGAAAAGGGTTAAATTTAGGAACATTAAGATTACCTCCTCTGTCATCCATTGAAACTGCAATCCACCGAAATAAGAAAAGAAGCCAGTCCCACCGCGGGCCATTTAAAAAATATTTCGCTCACCGGATTGGTTGTTACAAATAACCAATCGTATGTGCGGAATATGTGGTTTTTCTTCCTCTTATTCTTTAAAAAGGCCAGAGTGGCTGCTAGCGTTTATTTGGAAGGGGGAATCAGGGATTGATCTCCCCTGATTGGGTCGATTTGGGGATAAGGAATATGATGTTGAAAGACCCGAAACTCCCTGATGAACCAAATCAAAACATCACTGACGACCCCCTTGGGCGCCTACTTAAAAGCGTATTTACGAACGAATACGAATAAATTGCCAAA